TGAAGTATGTAGAGCTTCTTGAGGGTTGTCTTTATGCTGCGATCAATAATGTCGGTCTTGGCTCCGAGCCAAGTGGGTTTTATGTCGATACGTGCACCATGAGACCATTCTAAGCATATTTTGCTCCTTAAAGACAGCCCCCGCGATCAAAGTGGCTCGTGGTCGCCTTTGCTGTGCAAGTAGTCTAGCCTCCAAGCTAGAAGACTGTTCACCTTTCGCGACTCTATTGTGAGCGTGGAGGCTGCTATAGCCGCTCAAAGTGCTAGTTCTAACTCCTCCTCAGTCGGACCGCCTTTACTTGCTAGATGTCCTCCGACGGAGGCCACTCACTTGTTCTTAGTTGGGGGGCGGGCATTGCTAATGCCCCTGGATAATTCTGCTCTCCTTCATTACAGTTTACTCATTGGAGGTATATACATTCAATTCAACCCATTTCGCGAGGTGAAACGCGTAAAAAACACGAGTGACGCAAAATTTTCGTGATGCAAAACCACGACGCACAAAAGGTGCGCTACCGCCATCACAAATCAGACAACCGCTGTCCATAAAACTCCTTTTTCCTTCCCAGAGTTTTTCCTCTGCGTTTTTGTTTTCTTTTTGTATTCTTTCTTTTGTACTGGATGATATCAACTACTGCGAGATGTGATAGAGAGACTTGTGAGCTAGGGGCTGCACAGAGACCGCAGGGAGGTGTAACTGTGAGGGAGCGATTTTGTTTATGTTGTTCTGGAGAACGCTTCTTGCCTGTTTTCTTCTTTGGGAGATTACTTATCAGCTGCTGTTTCATAATTGTTTCATAATTGAAAAGCAGCTGCCCATGAGACTTTTATCGCGGGAGCTGTCTTTAAGCGGTTCTGAGCTAGAATTTAATGTCTGAGCTAGGATTTTAATGTGTGACTTTGCCTCAGAAGCAGGAAACGCTAAGTTGTTTGCTTTTTAGTACTATTTCCTTAATCATCGAATTCCTGATAATTGATATGATGTGATATCCACTCCAGTCACTCAATCAATCAAGATTGAACGATGAGTCGATTCCCTCGAGTACTTGATTAGAGCCTTATGGTGCTGCGTTTTTTGAAAGTGATTCATCTAATTATATGCGATTGTTGTGTTTTCATTTAAGCTTTTTTTTCTTTAAGTGGATCTTTATACTCTACTTTTAGCTTCGTTTGATCGACTGGGGTTTAGCTGAGTTCTATCATCCGAAACAAGACTACAATGTTCGAGTCGCTTCACGGATTTGCAAAGCTCACAGCTGTGTCTTCCACTTAGTATTGATTAGCATAAAGACAAGTATTGATTAGCATGAAGATACAAACTATAGTTTTTTGTTTTGTTCTAGCTCCTGCGCCTTTCTTAGTTGTAAGGGTGTTGGGGTTGGTAGGAACTGCGACTATACATTGTTCCTGTTTTCGTTTTTCTATCGAAACAGAAATGGGGCCTTAACAATAAGTTCTTGATCGCTACTGTGCAGGAACATTAAGGATTGCGCCGAACTTTGGCGCACTGAACGCTTCGGTTCACTAAAAATGATTGCGGGTCCTGCGCGATTGTACTAGTTATGTTCTGTCCTCCTAGGCGAGATGCTGGTACCTGAAATTTGCCGTCCCGAAATTCAGAAAACTTGGTTGCTGAGTGGAAGGTGAGCCGAATCAGACCTCGAGTCACAGCACACTCAGGATGGCGGACTACTGGCCAACTCATAGGTTCTCTCTCTTTTTGCAGACTGAGCACAACCCTGCTAATATTTATAGCAGGGTCAGTTTCGACCGCGACACAGATCGCACGCGTCTTACTGAGCCCGGCGCTCTAAGCGAGTACCCCTTACATGGTGGAAAGAACATCAACCATTGGGAAACAAAACACGTCACACAATAACGACGCATATGATTTGCCGGGCAGCAAGTACGCCTATATTTGCCTAACGATCCTACCGTCTCACAGAAGCGTGATGCACGTGACCTAACAATGAAGGCGAAAGTCCTGTACAAGCGTGTCCCATAGAAAGCCAGCTTTGAATGGGATGAACTGGTAGTCGCGTAACATCTGACGCGACAAAGCGCGGTTCACAAGTGGAGAGGTTATTGGAAAGGCATATATTTACACCAACTGTTATGTTTGCACAAAAACTGCAGCACTTGCTTGCATTGTCAACAGAGCAACTGAAGGATGAAGCGAGCATTCATACAATCCATTAAGCATTTCAAGAGGGGCGCTTGAAGTTCGATTGCTGTCAACGATGCCAACCAACGCCATCAGAATCCTTTGTAGCGCTAGTACAACACCTGTAGGTCAGATGAGATGTGATAAATCTTGAGCACCTCTTGCTCTTCTAAACAAGAAATCCGTTTCTCACGGACAAATGAGCCCTGTTTAATAGCAATAAAGGCGTAGTTGGGTGACGGGAAGTGGGCCTTCTGCACTTTTGCTACGACGAGCTCGCTACAGCTTCACAAAAGTTTAAAGGTTTTTCCCATAGTGATATTACCGGAGCCAGTGAAGCAGCGAAAGTGGAAAATGCCCCCTTCCCATGGAAAACTGCCCCGCAACGAGTATTTCGTGGGAGTAATTATATTTAATCATAAATAGAACAATGCCAAGAGAGCTGCGATGCTGATGACTGCCGTCAGCTTGATGACGCATGCGCAAGGACTGCGATAGTACTGCCATGTGCAGGCGAAATCGAAAATTACAATACTTCCAACCCGACGAGAGCGATTGACGAATTAAAAATGGGAACGTGTAGGAGTATCATCGAAAACGACCTCGGTGATTCAGCGAAGAATTTGGCTAGATTTCTGAATGTCTGACAAGAACGGTGGGTTTTTCAGCGACTAACCAATGAAGCAAAAAAGCCACATCAACCTCCGGAAATCAACTTCGAGAAAAGCCAGATCAAAACTTCAGTTTGCACTACCGGTATTTCCCACATCCCCTGTCCCTTACGAATCCCGGCTAGTAAAAGCTTATCGGGTGATAAACCGAAGCAATACTACACCCTACTAGAAAACTTCATCAAACCAATGCTAATTTAGGGACCATGAAAATAATTTAAAATGATATTACCTGTTTCTTTTCATGGTCGATCATTACGTTGTGTGGTTTTACATCTCTATGCATAATTCCTTGAGAATGGCAATAATCCAAAGCCTAAAAGCTCATAAGCTATGAACTTTTCAAATTATGTAGGTGAAAATGTAGATGAACAGTTCAAATTTAGCAGTTCCTTGCACTTAGTGATATGGATCAGTTATCGATTCGACGATCAATACAAGAGAGCGCTAGGAGTATCTTTATGATTTTCGTCGCGTATTCTGGGCGAGAAGGGAACATTTCTTGCGTGAGAAGAGAAAAGTATAGGTACTAATCTGGTTTTTTTTTCGAGCGTTTCTCCCAAAGCGCGTCGAGCATTTCTCCCACGATAGATCGATACCCATACTTCCTTTTTCGCCCAAAACGCTCGAAACGCTCAAAACGCCGACGGAAAGTATGAACGCAGTAGGCCGAGAAATGGGCACGCAGAAACGTGTCCATGTTCCCTTTCACTGGCTAAATTCAGGTTTAACAGAACGTGGGCTACCACGACTAGCGTTAACTGGCCAGGGAGAGCACTAGTTGCACGTTGCGTGCCCCTCCCCCCTTCTTATCAGGACCACGTTAGCGCTCAGCGCCTATGAAAGAAAAGACTGTGAAGCGTAGACCATTTGAAACTCACCTTCAACAGCTCATATAGATAGTAGCGAATATCCAGATCACTAAGAGTGCCGTATAATTGTTTGAAGTCCGAATTGTTTACATATCTGGAAAAGAACACCAGGGTAAGGTTCAGTGATTACCCTCAGATGCACTGCATATCCCAGAGGTGGAGTGGGCGTGGCTGTGTACTTCATTCGAAGCTGGCAGCACTCGCGATTCTCCTGGGATCTTCTATCTAGTTTTGGGAGAACTGTAGACATGTTTTAGTCCAAGAACAGATAAATGGCTTTGTTTAAAACGAAAACATCGCACCAAGAACGTATCCCGCGCTGTGTTCAAATAAAGGACGCAGCCACGCCCTTCCCAGATCTCGGGTAAAGAGTGTAGATGAACTGTTCCACAAAATACTAAAAAGTCTTTGAATTAGTACGTATTCTAATAGCAGAGAACAAACATTAACGTACTCAAAGATCAATGCCGGTGTGCGCGATATAGGATCTTTTACCACATCCAATAAAGTGATGACATTGGT